ATAAGATGCACAAAGGGTGTGGCTATACAACCTAACCACAATCAGACGTGGGGGTGCCTACACTCTGTGCTATCCAGTGTCTTATTGAAACATGCCACCCATAGTGTTCTTAGAACTGAACACATTTCCATTCCTTTTGTCTTTATAGCAGAAGCTGCATGTGGCAGCCCAGCTGGTGTTCTGCTGGGATGGGGCCCTACATACTGGAGCCTGTTCTTTATAGAAAAGGCTGTGGTTGTTGCTGCTGCTGCTGCTGCACATTAAAAAACAAGGGCTGTCAGTGCACGCTGAGTTATTCAACGTCTTAGGTAGGGCCTGGTGGGCAGACTGTTTTTGAGATGTTCTTTCTTTAAGCCTTTCATTGCCAGCAAACCCACAACATCAGAGAGCAGTTTCAGTGCAGTGATTTTTATCCTGGAGACGGTGGTAAGCAGATCTAATTGACCAGCCAAAGAGAGTTATTGGTCCAAAAGAGATGAAGGTGCAAATTTCATGTTATGCAAAGTAACGCACCCATAATAGCAAATGGATCATTGTGAGTGGGGGGCATATTAGGACTGACACCCCCCCCCTTCTGCTTTCGATCAAGTCACCAGGAGCATGGACTCAATGCAGGAAAGTAGCATACTCTTTCCTGGTTTCTCTCTGGGTTGGCTTAGCATTCATTTAAAAATCAGGATTGAAGCGGTTGTACTAAGGGGAAGTTGTTGTCGCATGGGGCGTGTCTATTTGGCATTTGCCCTTCCCCTCCCATTCTCAGTGCTACTCTTGGGTTTTTCCAAGGCAGACCAACTGAGCTAAACTCTAGGGTGTGCACTCCAAGCCAGACCAAGCCACCTACTCCACTAATTACAGGTCTTTGTGCCCATAGGAGTGAGTGGGTAGGGCTTTGTCACTAGTGGACCCAAGGCCGGCAGGGAAACCATATAAATATGCACACAGTTTTTATTTGTCTGCAGTGTTTTGCTGTCTCTTTTTAAGTCTCACGACAGCTAGCATTTTCATCAGACCCCCAGCTCCTAGTAGCAAGAGACTGATATCTTCTTCTTTCCCACCCCTCTGAACCCTGCCATTCCCTATTGTATTACAATTATTTTCTACCTTTCATGCTTGTGGAGATATACTTAAACATGTAACACAAGTGCAGCCAAAACATTCGGAAGTCAGCTGGCAAATACAAAAACCAAACATTTGGCACTGGTTTACAAATCATCAGGTTTTTAGAACCGCCTTAATTTTTTAGGACCTGATTCATGATTCCTGAATGCTTGGCGTTTGACAGTCTTTCACTACCTTGAGGCTTTGCATTGTGAATAGTGCCCAAGCTTTCACATACATTCACACCAAGTGCTGCTAGAGAGAAGGCAATGGCTCAGAGATCGTTGCTCACATCTCTTCCACAGAAGAGTAGATAAATGTAATGAGTGTAGGGGAGAGTCTTCTGGTGGAGCCCTATGCCCTGTAACACCCCATCAGTGTGCTCAGGGTGGCATGACTTATCCATCATGGAAAATGCACCAATTGTACAGGCTTTTCTGCATAAGGAAATATATTGGCATACCTATGCTACTGCCATATACCTAATCTGGACTTTCTAATTCTAGAAGAAGAACCCTGATCCCTGTACTCTTAGTCTTTAGTTTGGTTAGAATGTGCTCACTCCTTAACATCACTTCCTACCCCTTTTTCCTTTTTTTGGCTTCACAGGGATGTTGCGATGGACCTTGCATAAAAAAACTGACCGGAATCCTGGGAACAGCACCATCTTGGCTAAAATCCTCGTGAAGGAGCTGGAAAGGGTAAACATCATCTTAAGCGATGCCTTCCAATAGGTCCAGATACCTGTTAAGCTTGTGTCTAATGTATACATGTCTTGGTTTAAAATGGTTTTCACTGGCATAGTGGTTAGGCACCTGCACCTGAAGTGGCTTTTACTCACTGTTCTAGGCAGTGCTGTGGAGGAACATCCTAGTGGTCTCTGGAGACTGCAGAGACATTATTGTAACCTCCAAGTACCACTGTCACGGTCATCAGTCTGGTTCCCTCTGTACAAGCCAGCGGGTAGGCTCCCTAGAAAAACGTAAATGTTAAAACTGCTCGGCAAATGGACCTTCTATCCCCACACTCAAGGAGAATTTTGATAAAACTGAAAAAAAATAGCTTGAGAATGGTTACAGAACATTTTGGCAAGAACTAAAACAGAACAAAATAAACCCCCAGATATTTAAATTCCGAACTGCTGCAGTGCTTCATGGGAGTTGCAGTTCAGGTATCTCCTATTCCAGTTCCTTGTGGATGATGCGTCTTCTTTTGGATCGTGGTATACCACAGTCCCTCCTCATAGTAAAGTGAATCAGTTACATAAATGGAAGTCCTTGGCAAAGGTATATTATGGGAGATCCAAGCTACATGGGGAGCTTGGATCATAAGGAAGAACTGTATTCTGGGATTCCAGGCTGCTACAAGGCACCATGGGCAGGATATGTGGAGTTTGAGGCATTTGGCTTTTGGATGGAAAATTGAAATTTTACATGGAATGCAGGGTAGACCATTGTCTGGGGGGAAAGATCTGTTTTGTTGAAAATCCAACTTTTCATTGTTAAATGGTTGGCACAGACAGTGCAGGCATCCACAAGTAAATAATGTCCCAGGAATGGAAGGAGGCAGGGGAACCCCTGAAGGGCAGGTAGGGAGCCCTGGGGGGCAGAAGGGAAGCCCAGAATGGGAATGGAGGAATCTTATTTTTTAGTCTTTTAGGCCCCTGCTGCCTGTAATGTGACTGCTCCAAATGCAAGCTATACAGTACTAACACCCACCAACATTTGTGCAGCTCACAGCGTAAGGCTTAAATCCAGGACCTTTTCATGGTAAAGCACAAGTCCCTGCTGTGTGAAAAAAAAAAATTCCTCCTTGTGCAGGCTTCGTAGCTGCTGAGGCCAGCTACTAGAGAGAGACATCAGTACTTGCACATTGGAAACTGTTCCCCCAGCCTTTCAAGATAGAAAAAGATCTCATAGGTCTATTCTGGAAAACTTTCTGTCCTTTGAAATCTGGCCAACACCAGGATTACCAACCCCCCAGTCAAGGATCAGAGGCACAAGGCATCTGCTGCATCACAGTGTTGGCCCTGTTCTTGATGCCTTGCAATAGCTGACACAGCACCTAGCAAGCCAGCAAATTCCAGCGCAGTGTGCATTCTGTTTCTGGTGTTCAGTTGCCAAAAATAGTTGTTTCCAAACAAATATTTCAACTAAAAATACATTTTCATCAGCATTTCCTTTTAAGAAGAGCTAATTTCCTGCTCAGCTCTATTACAAATAATTTCATCCAAAGATATATTTGGATAAGATCACTAAGTTTTACTGTTCAGTTACAGGCAAATGGATTTCCATCCCTAGGCAATGCTAGACCTGTTAAATGAAGCCCCTTTAAGCCCTTAACACAATATAATTAGTGCTGTAGCACACTTTTAACTATGGCTGCGCCATGGATATGCACACATTCCAAGTCTGTGTCAATGTTCAGTTCCAGGCAGAAATGCTAAATGACACTAGGATGCATAAGGGGAAAAAAATTGATCTGTAATGAGGTCACTGCTCCAGCACCCTGTCATAGCAGGACAGCAGTGTTTCCTGCCGTTCTGATGGCTTACTGTTAAGGGCTGTTCCCAGGTCACCCCGACAGTTCATCCCCTCCTTCCCTTCCTGCGTGGCAGAGACCAAAGTTACGGCCACAAAAAAATATAAAATTAAGGTGTCTGTCCCAGCTGGGCTTGGTCTTCAGCCCTTTTGAGGCTTCTTAGCAGATTGTCAACCCAATAAATTATTTTTACTGACAATCTGAACATATTTTTTTACTAACAAAGAAACTTTTTTTACTGATATGTGTTTTTCTGTCAGTAATAAAAAAACCCCCTTGGGTGGGCATCCCTGTGTGATTGCAGAAGTAGTTTTATACCCTGATGCCCCCACCCATACCCTAACATCCCTGAATACACTCTGCACCATGCTACCCTTTCAGCCTGTCCCCCCAGCCTGATCTCCACCATTCCCGCTCTCCTTGTCCCAGCACAGACCCACACCCATTGCTTTTCTCCTCCTATTCTGGAACTCCATCCTATCTCCAGCACCCCTCTCCCTCTACTTACAGTGTGAACAGCTGCTATAGGCAGAAGACAGGCATAGACACACAGCAGCATCACAGAGCTAGAGCCAGGGCAGGGGTTTAGCAGGCCCTAATAAAGGGGTTCCATATGTTCAGGGTGCTGTGCTCCCATTCAGATAGCAAGTGGCATTGCTATGCTCTGTATTTCAACCTGGCTCTGTATTTTTACAGAGGGGGAAAATGTTTTTATGGGTTTTTACAGATAGGAATGTTTAGGGTTTGTTTTTTTTTCCAGCATGTCCATAAATGTATGAATAGTTGACAACCCGGCAACTCCTTAAACTTAACTCTGAGACCCAGCAGGCATCCCTCCATGGCCCTCTTAACAATCATCAGCAACTTACCAGCCAGTCCTATTCAGTTCTTGCTTATAATCAAGCTTTCCTTCCCAAGCAAAAATAATTAATCTATGCTCCTTACTAGCCACCCCCAATCAATTGAACAATCTTCATTTTATCTCCTTTCCACGGACCCATCACTCCCCCTAAGTGCAGGTAATTAATGGTACTCACCACAGTGTGTTAACCCTTTCTAGCCCATGTAAGATCTGTATATAGCATCATGCAGTATTTAAGCAATTAAGAATCTATAAAATATGCCTAGTGATGGGAGCTCAGTGAATAAAAGACACGTGAAGCTCTGTGGCTTTCCTGGGTTTCTAGGGAACTGAGAAAACAAATCTTGTGGCCAGTAACTTCAATCTGGACTCAAAAGGAAGGGCAGCCAAATGTCATGTACCTTTCCCAACATCTCACCAGAGGCATAAGAGTTTTAATTTGTTTGGCCTGAACAGACATTTAAAAGCCACCCACCACACCTCACAAGAACAGAGAGTGCTTGGTATTTCCGACTGCTTTTCTCTGATTCAGCACTGCTCAGCTGCCTTTCCAGTCTGCTAATCACTGAACTGAAGAAGCTTTACTTAATTGTTGTTTTTGGTTTTGCAGGCAGAAAGAGGAGATTATAGACATTATATCATCCCCCTGCTCCATACGCTAATGTACACACTAATAAAGGTAAGATCTGCAGATAATACCACTGAATCCAGAGACATCCCAAGCCATGGGCTCTGGTCACGATACCACCATTAGTCTCATTCCTAAATAACATTCCTAAATAAGTATTCAGTCGGCCACGCTATACCCATTCTTTGTGCTGACATTCACAAGTGCCTGCAACAGACGGTGCTCAGAAGCACTACAATTGTGCTGTGCTGACAGATCAGTGTTTATGCAGGAACCTAGTATTTCCTATTTTTATGTGTTTGAAGTCTCAGCTTTAACTACACAGGATGTGATATATATAGAGTGAGAAAGGATTTGTAAAGTCACCTAGGGCCAATTTTTTAAAGGTAGTTAGATGCCTAAATATTCAAGTAGGTGCTCAGTGAGGTTTTCAGAAATGTCTAACTGCCTAAATGCCTTTAAAAATCTGCCCCAGTCCCTATCCCTGCACATGAGTATTTCTAGATTTCTGTAGAATCTGTTATTTCTGTCTTAGGGTCTAGTTCAACCCACTGACTTCAGGGTGGCATCTGTTTGAATCAAGGCAGAATGTGGTGATTGGTTTAAAGATAGTAACTACCAGAAGACCGGATGATGGTTGTAGGGGTGCTTAGGAGGCCATGCAGATGAGCTGGAGAGGCTCTGCCAGGGGCAGGGTGCCATAGACAGAAAGGAAAAGAGGGAGACTGGGACCAGGTGCAACTAAGGGGGTTAGAGCCTGAGCCCAAAGAAGAGGAAAGGCTGGGACCAAGAAGCTGGGTCAGAGGAAGTGGGCCCAGGCTAGAGGCCTACAGCCACAGAAGCCTGCAGGCTGAGACCCAGAGGGCTGAAGTCTGTACAGGGGAGTGAAGTACAACTGAGTGACACCTGCAAGGCATGGGCATGGCTATAGGAGAGGACAGAGACCACGATTAGAGCCCCTAAGGCTGGATTAGAGCCACTAGGGTCATAAGCTGAGACTGCTAAATTTGAGTCATGTCCACAGGGTGTGAGTAGTTCCAACTGGGGTGTGAGCTACCTGCAGAAGTTGGGCAAGGTCTTGCTAGAGGACAGAGGGCACAAAGGGTAGAGATGGAGTGAGCCTGCTAGGCACCAAGGACATCATTCTAGGACGCTGGGGCAGCTTCCCAATCAGCATGGCAGGAAAGATAAAAAAGATGGTGTTATACAGAGAACCTGGAGTCAGGTCAGGACTAGGGTGGTTCACAGGGGGAGTCACAGCAGCCCTCAGGGCCTGTCCTGCCACAGTCTTCGATAGGATCTCATTAACCATTTCTTTCCAATGGCAGGCTCCGTGCTTTTCAGATGATCTCTATGGAAGAATATATGATTTCTGCAAGAAGCTATTAACCCTGCCCAAGCCCTACTGCACCATTGGCCTGGACTATGCTTGTCGGTTAAAAACAGAAAGGGTGGCACCAGGTTAGTGTATTTCATGTTCTTTTCTGTGGAGCATATAGCTATGGAATCTCGCTATTTTATAATGATTACCTAAACAGAGGTATAGGTCCAGAGATGTGATAGGCATTCCCCATGTGCCACATACCTTTACCCTTCTGTAGGTATGTCTGCACAGGGAATGAACATACACCATGCTAGCTTTGCTATTATCACTTGTGCTAAATGCATAGCATCTGACAAAGTAGGCTGTTGCCTACAAAAGCTTATTCATTCCCAAACAAGTCAGTCTCTAAGGTGCCACCCTGCCTTGCCTTCTACCTGACTTCAGACTAACATGGCTAACTACTTCTCTTTAAATAAAGATATGATGGCATGTACTTAAGCACAGGTTTTACTAGCCCACTGGGGACCCTGATTCATACACTGTTTGTTTACCCTTGCCAAAATGTCTGTTGCTATGTTTTAGGGTTGTTGGTTGTACCTGTGTTGGTCTAAGGACATAGGCAGACAAAGTTCTTTGGGTAGATGTAATATCTTTTACTAAACCAAGTAAATAGTTGGAAAAATTGCTCTTTGCAAGCTTTTGGACACAAACTCCCTTCTTCAGGCACAGGGAACAAACTGTCACTATGTTGTCATTAGTACTGTTACCTAGGATAGGTAGATTAAAGCTAGGACTATGCCTCCCTGTGTTACAATTGCATTTTGTTTGCTGTGTGGATATACCTTAGGGGCTCTGTTTTGGGGCAGAGACAATTCCTATTTTATTTCTCAAAAGTCTGTAGCCTGTTACAGGGGAAAGAAACACGCTGTACTTTTTCTTATGGAAATTTCAAGCTGGACTTATGTGGGAGAATGGATACAAGTACTCTGACTGCATGGAAAAGGAAGAATCACGCACAGAAACATCCCTCCATGTCTGTGAGGAGTCCTAGTGATAGGCCTGGACTATTTTATATTAGGCTCAATACAAACCCAGAACAAAAAGATGGTCCCTGCCCAAAGAGCTTGCAGTCTAAACAAACTAGACCAATTTTTAAAAAAGGAATTTATTTCATGGGCAACTGTAGCATGAAGAAAAATGGTTTCCCCAGCATCACTGGAGGGTGGAATGGTAAAACCAGAAACTGAACTGCATCTGCTTGGACTGATGAAACACTGTATTTTTAGTTTCCTCTATCTTAAGTTTTTAGAGTTCTTAGTATTTATAGGACTTTTGCCATTTTGGCAGGGCACCACCCAGACCCTATGACATCTGAGAAGATAAGGATGTATTAGTTCCATATTAACAGAAGCACAGAGGTACACAGTGTCAGGTGACAAGCTGAGGACAGAACACAAATCACATGAGTCCTGATCCAGAGTTCTCATCACAAGACCACGCTTCCTTGGCACCGTCTGAACAGAGCTAGGATCTTTGGTCAGGTTTTCCCCATGTCCAGGAACCCTGTGCTGTCACTTGACACCCAAGCAATGTGGGTATAGAACAGAGGTTTTCCATTGGTGCAAATGGTGTTACAAGGTGTGGGTTAAGAGAGAATCAGCCCCAAAGGGTAGGGTATTAAACCCTGCCCCTGCTTCTTTGTACAGTTTCACACCTTACCTCATACTCCATCAAAGAAAGGAGAAATACAGGAAATGTATAGAAAGGATTCTCCCTAAATAGAAGACATTTTCCATCAGGGCTTTCTTTAGATTGTACTAATTTATTCTTGGTTGTGCTAAACTAAATATCTGATCCTCATCTCTACACACTAGCTCCATTGACTTAGTAGAGTTACTCTTAAGCTATATTGGTATAAATGAAAGAAGGATCAGGCCTCTTGTTTTCAAATGTTACTGATCGCCTGCTGTATCTGTCTTTTTTTTTTTTTTTTTTGCCAGGAGTGTTATACCAAAGAATGGTTATTTCCGAACAAAGTCTTAGAAGTGACCCGTATCCTTATCAGGAGAAGTAAGTGTTGTCGGTTCTAGTGAGGCTTTTAATGACATTGTAATCTGGCAGGAAAAAAAATGATCATTCACTGAATACTGAACATAGACTGCAATGGCATTTTTCAGTGCTATCAGAAAGCTAACTACTGTCAGAACAGAACTTGAGCAAAGTCTAATCCCGGCTGCTGGTGCTGTGAGGCAGAACACAATACATGTTGATGGTGCTTTATGGTTAGTTAAAATCAACTTTGTGTCAGGAAGGGAGAGGCTTACTGAGTATTTTGGCTTCTTTTCATGGCTCCAGGAGGCAGGTAGCTTTCCCATACTGGAAAGAAGGGGCATCTAGTCAAAGGAAGTGCCTGTAATAACTATTTCTTGAGCAGAATGATGCAGATGCTAACTATTCCTTTCAATCTGAGAACGAGAGTAATGACTATAGGTCAGATACAGCCCTTAAATACATGATGATTTCACTAGGGCTGTACTCATTACATCAGCAGACAAACCCACCATACTAGAAAAAGGCAATCATCTGCCTGGTTTAGATTCTTGTTCCAAACAGGGGCCCTGCTGGCCTCCTCAGAGAGATTTCATTTCTCAGCTGTGCAGTATTCTACCACAGGGTGAATTTCTATCTGATTGGCAGATCAAGCGTTAGAGCATGACAATGGCAGTGGTCACTCTGCATTTTTTTAGATGATCAGTGGTATGGCATCAGATGACCTGCCCTCCCAATCCCCAGTGACCCCTGTCTTGCTGCATACTCTATTTCAGTAATCAGTCTTGTATTTTATGTAACTTTTTTCCAACATTCATTTCTGCAGGGTTTTCATATTTGCAGATCCAGATCTGCTTTCCAAGGCTGTATGCAATGCACTAGTCACTGATACCAAGGCTGCTCAGACGTATCAAAGTCCCAGATCATGCATGTGCTATGTGATAATGCATGCCATGCAGGTGGCTCTGGAAGACGACTGTGATATTTACAATTTGCAGAGGATCCTTCAGGTAATTGGTTAACAGCACTTTGCAACATTGTCAGCTTTTGGGTACAAGGGGACAGAATCTCAAAAGAGACCTGCTTTCATTTAGGTAACTCAGTGAAGTGACTAGGCATCCTACTGTGGTTCATACCAGTAAATCCATATGTTGCTTCCCTTCCACATACTGAACAGCGTTTTACTGTGCAGTGACTTCTAATGTAATTAAATTATTTCATATCGATAGAGGAATATAAGTGTGGATTTGGATAGGTGTACTTCCACCATACACTTGAAAGTCAGACAATAAGGTCAAAAACTTTTTTTTGCATAATTAAAAAAAAATCAACACAGAACCCTAACCAAAAGGGAAAAAAAAGTTTGATTTAAAAAGAATTGTTTTGGGCAAAATATTGAGTTTTCATGAACAATTAGCTGAAATTGGTATTTTTCCATTAAAAGATTTTTAATGGCAATATATCTTTTGTTGAAAGCAGGTTTCATTGGCAAAATTTAAGCTGTCACTCAAAACTCTCCCTTTCTAAGGAGGCCTTTTAAAGGAGCACTGGGCTTACCCAGGTTAGGCACTTTGGGCACCTATACACGTGATGGACCTCTGCTGCTAATTAGCATGTGTCGGAGCAGACTCAATCATGCTAATTAGCATGCTCCAGCAGGCTCTGCATCGCATGTATTCAGTGTCCCCACATTTCAAAATCGCAGTGGGGGCACTTTAACTAAAACATATCAAACGAGCCTTAGTTAAAGTGCCCCCACCACCATTTTTGAAGGACGGGATGCTGAATACACGATACTGCAGGTGCTTTAATAGGAGTGGCTCTCAGCACCACTTTAATTAAAGTGCTCCCACCCACCCCTAGAGCACATGTATAGATGCCTATAGGGGCCTGCATGCATACTTGATGGGGCCTCAAAGGAAGTCAAGGGCACCCTCATTGGCCTAACTTTTTAGCAGGCATGCCACAAATTAAGCCCTGCACCCTCTCTGTATGCCACTCTGATTCCCTTCACCTGCCTGATCTGCTGTACTTTTTTCTCCCTGCCCTGTTTGCTGCTTTCTTCTCCTTCGGCTGTGTCACCTACCAAAGCTTCTGCTCTGCGTTCCTCTTCCTGCCCTATTTGCCACTGTACTGCCTGTCCCCTCCTTAATCTGCTACATGGCATACACAAGTGGCACTTATGCTGCAGGTTGGCCATCCCTAGCCTAAATGATCCATACCCCATCATACCTCTCTCGGGGAAGTCCAAACAACCTGGTCCATGGTCTACTCACTGTGCTTATTAGTCATTACAAAGCCCACCGTGTGGCCTGGCCCTTGACTCATTTCCCTGGATGGGGAATGCTCATCTGGCTGTGAGCAGAGCCAAAAGAGTCAGCACCTCTGCTTTTGCACTTGATGACCCCTGCAGCATTGGGGCTTGCTTTCCACCAGACCCAGTGCTGATGTTAGGCTATATTGTGCAATTTTAAAGTGTCATTTATTTTGTAAGCTAAAGGTGTTGTCACACATTCATCTTAACACTTGCTACGTGCAGTTACAATGCAAACAGGTGCATGTTCAAGCAATTTAGTATGTGTTAAGTGCCCTCGTGACATTGCAAAGTTGTTCCCTTTCAGGCGAGAGCTATCTCCTAGCATGTACTAACTTTAATACATCACAGCATTCCAGTGATTTGCAACTATTGCAACTGAACATGTGGCAAGGCTCTGGGAAACAACGGAGCTGTGTTCCAGTTGTAGAAAACAGAGTGGGTCATTTTGTTTCTTCTACCCACCCCTAGCTTAGCCCACACAGTAGATCTTGTATTCACACCTCTGGTTATTAATAGCCCCTCTCTGCAACAGGATAAGCCCACAGAGGAGATAGAACACTTTTTCCGACAAGTGGTGACAGCAGTTGAGTGTACAGGAAATGAAATAAATGCAGACCGCAGCCAGCACGTTGAGAGGCTGAAGAAAGTCTATGATGTAGTGCTGAGTTCTTCTGAAACAGGTAAATATAACATCTGATGCAAAAGAGCCAAAGGGCTGAGAAGTCATATGGGGACATAAGTCTGATGAACAGGAGCAGCTACTTAGTTCAGAGCAATCTGAGAAATCTTTGGAGATGGGTAACTTTCCCTGGATCCTGGTGACATGTCTTCATCATATCTGTAGTAAATGAGATGCAAAGGCCTTATCCCAACCCCAAAATCACGCTACTTTAACCATACTATACAGTAAAATCAATACAACCTCCCAAGTCTCTCTAGGGTGAATAATGACATACCAGTAAAAAGTAGACCTTGTCCTGTATGGGAAGGGGTGTAAACTATGCTAATATATTGATATAAAACATATACTGGTATAAATGCATACATAGTGGGAGGTTGTAGGAGTGTAATTATTTTGGTATAAGATTATATCACTAACAAAATTAGCTATGTCAATACAAAATTTGTGAACAGACCAGGCCTACTTAATTCAGAGACACCTCTGGGAGCAGGTTATGTGGGGAGACAAAATCCAAGGTCTTACTAAAGAAAGACAGTTACCTGGGCTTCAGGATGGGGGTGAGGGAACAGTTCTGTGGAATCAAAATAATGTCCCTGCTCCAGTGCTCTTAAGGAGATTTTAACTTCCAAAATTGGAGTCTGGAGATGAAAGTAGGCCTCTGGAGACCTGTATGTGGCATGATACATAGTAATCAACTGTAATTAAAGTATACCTGGCACTGCCTTTCCAGGGCACTGATTAATCTTTTTAAAAAGAAAGACTCATTAAACATTTTGTCACATGAGACACTCAGCTGTTTAGAGTCCATACTGGGCAAATTCCTTCACTTCTCATTAGTTTCTCTGTCTTGAAAACAGGGATGGAGTCTCGAATCACCTTTGAAAAATACTTTGAAACCTGTGCATGCAAAGCACTTGATGAGAGTTTAGGGATTATTATTAAAGCTTCCTGGAATGGCGAGAAAGTTAAGCTGGCCTCAGGAACAGCACACGCTGATTTCCTTTAGCTTGCAGGTTCGAAACCTGAGCATTTCAGTGAACAAACCAAGACAAAGGACTGGAAGGTTTCCCAGCACAGATACATAGGGGAAATTGGCTGCTTCCTACTGTTTATAGAAATAATTTCTTTTGGTCAATCAAATTGCTGGCTGGGTTGCACAGTGCTAGCTTGGTGTTGTTAGCCTGCAGCCTTGTTACTTCTGAGTAACTTTAATGGAGCGCTTTGCTTTCCCACAGGGGATACTTCACCAGAAGGGCTCCAGGACATCCCTCTGCCCAACCCAAATATTAGTTTTCACTTGTGGACAGAGGAAGACCAGCTTTGTGAGTGTGCTTAAATGAATAAAATGGAACAATGAAGTGCTTAAGTTGTAGATGTGTTTGCCAAATAGTAAAAATGTTAATTTGCTTAGATCATTTGGAGATGCTCTAGACCAGGGGTTCCCAAAGTTTTTATGCTGTGGCCTGGCAAACTGTGGCCCAGCAGTCACAGCCGACCATGGCCAGAATTTCCGTCCGGTAGACAGGTAAGGATACCCCCACTCCTCAGGTGGGCCGAACCCTGCACTGCCGCGGGTCCTGAGAAAGAAGCCATGGCCTCTCCACAGGACTCTGGGGGGCCATTTGCCAGTCCATGGCCACGTCCAGTCTGGCAACCGACCATGCTGTGGACCGGTGCCCGGCACCGGGCCGCAGCCCAGGGATTGAGAACCTGTGCTCTAGACTTCCTCTGGAGGTCCCATCAAGTGTGTATGCAATGGCCCATGTGCCTGAACTGGAGGCAAATTGCTTTTCTGCTGTTTTCAACCCAGGAAATTGGTGGCATACAGTGTCCTCCTCATGCTGCTTTACCTGTGGTAAAGTAGGTTGTTTTAGATGCTTCTGACATTTTGCTTGGTAGTTGTGCATGAAGGTTGTTTCTGAAGCTTTGAAGAACAGGTTAGAACAGGCCTTTTAGGAACACTTCTCTAGAATGATTTAAACAACGAGGATCCTGCCTTGAGCAAGGGGTTGGACTAGATGATCTTCTGAAGTCCCTTCCAACAGAGACATAGCTAGGCAGTTCCATACTCAGGGCAGCCCCAGTGCACAGGGTAGTGCCAGCTGCTGTGGTACTGATGGAGGTGGCATGGCCAGCAGGTATTTTTGTGTCCCCCTCTCCCCCACAAAGGCAGTAGGGCTGCTTCCTCAGCTTCTAACAGGCATTCATTTAAAGGCACTATGGGATCTAATTTCCAGTTCCAACAATCTCACCTCTTGCTATGCCACAAATGCATGGCAGGAGGTGCAACTGTTGAATCAGAGATCAGATCCCAAATGTGCCCCCTGCACCAGCAGTCTGGTGCATTGCTGTGGCTGGGAGTGCCAGTCTGCTGATCAGCTCTCCCAGCCTGACGAGCACACTGGAGTCTTGAAGGGCTCCAATGAGCTCCTGAGGCTGGGAGCACCCATCAGCTGACTGGTGTTCCTAACCACAAGAGTGCGCTGGAGCCCTTCAAGACTCCTGTGCACTCTCAAGACTGAAGCACTGACTTAGATGGGGTGCTAAAATGACAGACACTTGGGGAGTCTGTGCCACAGCAGCAGGTAGACACCACAATGCTGGAAAGTCTAGGGGCACCATGGAGGCAGACAATGAAACTGCAACAGCAGTTGGGGGTCTTTGAGGGTGCTGATAGACCTGCAGTTCCCCACTGTAACTCATGGTGCTTTACAAGAAGTGCCATGAGTTACAGCAGTCCTCCCCAACCACCCCCCCCAACAGAATTTACTGTTGGGTCTGGGGCGTTGGGGGATCAAGCTCCAATTTGGAGCGATCAAGCTCCAGTTTGGAGCAGCTGCATGTATGCAGCCTCTCTTTCCCCTAGCCCTGCCCCCACCCACCCCACCCAGCTCCAGCATCTCTGGTGCTGTCTTCAGGATGGGAGGTGGGGAAGGAAGCTCAGTCTGGGGTTTGCCCAGCCTGCACTAGAGGGTGGTATGGGTGGATTGGTTGGGTAAGAATAAGGAAAAGGTTGTCTATCCAGCAAGGTAAAAGTCCTGGCTGGGGCTATCTGCTGTGCAGGCCTTAGAAGGTTGCTGGTTCATCAGTTTGGATTGATACTGAATTGTGCTTGTGCTTGACCAATAGACATGCCCCTGGCGAAAGAGACTGGGTGTTGATAGGAGCTTCACTGATGCACTGCCCAGTAGGTTGGACTAACAGCTTACACAAGAGCAGCACAACTGAGACAAAGGAGGCATCCAGTGCTGGGGTTTAGAAGTGTCCTTGTTGGTCATTTGTAACAGGGGGCCTTCTCGCGGCCGATTTCACAGTGGCGTGCCCACCTGTTTCTGGGCTAACTGCCCACCTTCTCGCCCACCATGCCTTGTTGTTAATTATTTAATTGATGTTAATAAAGCAGGAGGCTGCCCATTTCTTGCCCCGATGCCAGGGGGCACCATCTGTGGCTCCGTTCCTCCCCTACACCGCAGCCCAAGCCTCGCAGATGGCATCCAGATGTTATCCATATCACCCGCCCCACACTGGGCCCCAGAATCCTACTAGTTGAACCCCACTTAGATCCCTCCATTCAAGCAGCCTATTCTGCCTTCAATCCTGGCTGCATAGCTCCCTGAGCTGCTCCTCCTTATGGGTGTGGTCCCCTCCCCCCCGGGACCTTTGGCTCTACTAGCCCTGGCCCACCTCCAGACCCGTCAGAGCCCCAGGCCCTCGGCTCTGGGCATCCCTCGTGGTGGGCCCCCAGCCCTTCAACCCTTCTGGTCCTGGCCCCAGCATAGACCAGTCGGGGATGTCCAGACAGGTGTGAGTCTATGGCCCCACTCTCCCTCTCTGGGGGCCACCTTCCAGACCCTACAAGGGGGTAACCCACCCGGTTGTGGGGGCTGGGGTTCAGGTGCCCCGACCCACCTTTCACTGAGGTGGTAACTGGCCTGGCATTTCCTGGGGGCTCCTGTGCCACTGAGAGCCACACCAGGCCACCCACTCCCAGCAGGGTGCAGTTTTAGGTCATACCCAGGACCAGGAGCCTCCTGACCATCCCCTACAGTTCTTTCCTTACCTCCAGATGATACCAGCAGCCCTGCAGCCAGGCAGTGTTGCTGCCTGGGCTTCCAGAAGCAAAGTCCTGTTTATATGGGCAGCCCTGAATCCAAAATGGCTGCCCTCATCAGGCACCTGCCAGCTGCTGTCTTCTGGCCCTTAAAGTGGCAGGCACCAACAGTGCCCAGCCACACCATTGGTTATATTTGATATGACAGTCAGACTGTGCTTGGAGAAAGTACCTGGGTAGGACAGCAATGGAAAGCTGCAGACAGCACTTAGCTGTACTGTCAAAAGAAGTTAAATGTCCAGGACAAAATAGCAGGGACAGCAAACAGATCAGCACTGAGGTGCATTGACAGACCTGTCTAGGGGCAGCTTGGGTGACCTTCACCTGTATGATGTTTGTTGGTGCTGCAGTGAGTTTTGTATCTTTCTTTTGGTCTCTTTTTTCACAGTTGTTGAAATCACAGACCAGGTTTGAAAATCAGGGAGGTGATGAGATTAACATTCATTGAAATGAAATTTCTGCAGACTGGGAGACAAATATGCCAAGTATTTGGCCTGATCCAGAGCCTGTTGGAATTGATAGAAAGGCTCCTGAGGACTTTAGTGGGCACTGGCTTAGGACCAGCAAGCCTATAATTTGGCCTTTTAGCCATATTTAGGTGCCTACATGAGAGGTCTAAGTTTCAGAGTTGCTGAGTCCCCTCGGTTCCCACTGACTTTGGGCACAGTGCTAATACCAGGCCCCCATGCAAGGACGAACCTCACCTAGTATGTCCATGGTCTTTGCCACTCATGGGATTTTTTTCTCTCACACAGGGAAGGAGCTTGTGCTGTTTGTCCGTCCCCTGTCACAGACCTGTGAACAGGACTGTCTGAGCCAGGAGCTAGACAACTTTGAAATACAAGACATTGTGACAGAGTGTGAGTGCTGTGAGCAGACTCGGTTCTCTGTGCTATCCACTGACAGTGGGATTGAACGGGACTTGCCACCAGTGGGTGAAGAGCCTCCTCCTCATTGCAGTGCTGAGGTTGAGCACTCCCGGCTCCAGAGAAAAGGTGGCATTAAGAAAAAGGCATCTCCTTTGGAGGCCATGGCCTACCTGCAGGCCAGCTGCAATGGCCCAGGAGTAAAGCATTCTGGAAAAATGCACACAAAGTCTGGCAGCAACATGGAGTCTATGTCTTCTCTCCAGAGACTGCACACCGCCCGAATTGTTGTTTTGGGGGATGACAGGATATTGGGGCGACTGGCCCAAGCCTTTCACTCTCTGAGGTAAATAGTGGCATCTGTTCTTCAGTATATGTATGAAGAGGCATTCTCAGGGGTGGCTAATATTGGAGAGGACCAGCCTGGACAGCTTTACAGCATGGGTTTTGTCTACTAAGCCATGAAGGTAATAAGGGAAAGGGGAAAAGGAGCCTAGAGTGGAAGAAGGGAAATTTAAGGTGCTCAGATCTTTGAGGAAAAAATCAGAACTTTCCATTGTAAATCCCCTGTCCCACATTTTTTTAAGCAGTTGTATTCATAGATGTCTATGTCAGGGTTGCTCAAATGTCAATCTGTAGGCTGTCTACACTGCAAGTGGGCAGTGAGTGCAGCTTGGAGGGGGTGGGAGGTGCTGCTTGCATGGGTGGGGGGAAGAGAAAGGGGACCCGGGCTGCCTGTGCTGCAGGGGTTACAAAAAAAAAAGTGTGGCAACAAGGGTGGGGGGAGCCAAGCTCCTCACACTGTGTGCATGGCAAGGGGCAAGGTAGGCAGTGCTGGGCAGCCTGGCTACCCCACTTCTCAGCTGTGTGTGCAGTGTGCACAGCACTCACCCTCCTCTCAGCTTTGTGTGCTACATGGGGAGAACCGGCTGGCTGTGCTGTTTGAGCAGGGAGGGTCTGTCTGTGCAGTGCACAGCTGGGAGAGGGGGAGAGCTGGGCTCCCATCTTGTGAGCGTGCAACCCTGTGTGAGTGATTGCATCACTGAACCCAGTGTCAGAAAAGCAGCAGTGCCTTCAGCCTTTCACTAGGACCTGTTTGGAAAGGCAATGCATGTACACGCCAAGTCCAGGACTTTTCTGTTCCAGGGCAACTTGTCCAGGGACAAATTCAACACCTGTTCCTAGCCTTAGTACCACTATCAGAATGCAGCTGTGGACTCCCAGCATCTCCTTCACCAGAACCAGCAAACAGGGTGGTTGTTTTTGTGGTTATTGAACGATGTAACTTTTTTAATGTATTTTTTTCATTTCAAGGAAACGAGAAACCAGGCGAGTCTTTTTGACCACACGACTGAACCTGCAGTTCTATTACGTCCCTGTTGTAGAGGGCCAGCAAAGCACATGGCCCACTGAAGTGAGTATTTATGTGGCAGGGACTGTGCTCTCTCTCTTTACTCAGAGTGTCACTGTGGGGCTGTCAAGAGCCAGGGTTCAGACTGAGCTGATGTGAGTGTTTGTCTGAGGAACCACTAGTTTTTATAGAAACTAAGATCTGATGTTGTCTAGCCCATATGGCTCTAAAACATAGTTTTCCCCAAACCCCTGTACCTATCTCCTTGAAACTTGGCAGGCTTTGTGGCCTCCGCAGGGGCTACCATCCCTGCAGTTTTCTCCCCGCTGCTCCTTAACACATACACATGACATGAGTTTTGCTTTCAAGAATTTGGGGTGCAGTTTCCCCCAGACCTCTGCTCCTGTCTCCTTGAAACTTGGCAGGCTTTACGGCAAGCTGCATCCCCTTACTCTGCCTCTGTCTCATGTATTAAATGGTAGCTTTTTATTTTTATTATTATTATGATTATGTAGCAATGATGCTTGGGAGACTTGGTCACAAACCAGGATCCCATTGTACTAGGCATTGTACACACACAGCACAAAAGGCAGTGCTGGCACCAAAGAACTTAGTCTAATGATCCCCCTGTCTGTTAAAATCCTTGAAATGAAAAGTGACATAAACAGAATTGCTTATTGAAGGCTGGGTCCTGCAATGAGCTCCACCAAGCAATGAGTTCCATAGAGCCCTGTGTCCTGAAGACTCCATTCACAAGTGGAGGGCATCACAGAGTTTGCCTGTGGCACAGGGACAGCCACCTGTACGTGCTGATGTGCTCCAAACCTGGAAATTCACTGGAGACCAACAGTGTGAGAGCTGGCACAAAGGAATGCTCTTGAGCAAGCTTCAGGATTAGGAACATATTTCCTGGCATGGAAGAGCAGAGCATACTTGGGGCCTCTCCTGGCTGGGACATGCTGTCACTAAGGTGTAGAGAAGCTTAGGTGTGTTTGCCTTATGTCTTTCTGCATGGAGCTCATTTGTGAGAAAAGGCTTAAATGAGGCTAAAGTCAGAACAATCTTCGAACAAGGAGGATAATATCTGGATCTGTGTTAGCTTGGAGCCTGGGCTGTTGTGAGTTCATGGCTATCATTAGAAGCCAATAAACAATTATCACCACAAATAGTTTAACTTTGTCCTGGTACTGGCAGTAAATCTTAGCTAAATGTCCATTTTCTATTATCAGTTAATCACTTGTATTCTTTATTCTCCCATGTGTAGAGGAAGCAGGATAAGATCAAAGCTATCTAAATCAGGTGTGAAAAGCAGAGGCCTCTAGCTGCTCCTGGTAGACTCACAGGTGTTGCTTCAATCTTGCCCTCTTCTCCTTCCCTTCCTTCCTACCCCTCCAGCCCCACCAAATGAACAGCAAACAAGAGCAGAGGGGAAGCAAGGATAATAAACAGATGCAGGAAAAAATCCAAGGCATGTCCAAGTATCCCATCTTATCAGTGTATGTAGAAAGAAAAACACAGGTACTAGGGTAGCTAGGAATAACACAAAAACAGTTAGACCAAATACTGGAGCAGAGTCTATGCTGATGCTTGATATCACTGTGCATTTTCCCAGATCTTCAAGACACAGAGGCAAGTTTTGTTAACATCATAATTAAATACATTCCCTTTGCTTCCGGTGTTTTAACCTTTGTCTTTAGGGATATTATTCCATGTAGAACAAGCAAAAAATAAGGGACTGACCATCCTGTGCTGTGGTTTTCTTCTCCAGGAACATGCCATGCCTAGCCAGATAGACCTCTGTGAAGTGGCTGGGTACCTTGGGAGAGCTGACCCGTGGTACGAGAGCAACATCAACACTCTGTGTCACATGATCCCCAAGCTGGCGACTATGGTATGAAGAGAAATCCCTCTTCACTGTTCATGTTGATCAGGTTTTTGATATTTTTATTCTCTGATCATACAGAGCTGTCAAATGGTAGTGGGGAGGAGTTGGAAATGGTATACATTTATATTACTGCTACCCTAGCAGCAGTATCTGTGCCAGTTCACCCCACTGGAGCAGCCTTTCTTTGATCAGAAGACTCTTACAAATTTAAAAACCCGAGTGTAGAGAAAGTACAATGTAAAAAGGCATTTGCTAAAAAGAGACATTTCACGGGGGCAGGTTTTTCAAACTATTTAGAGACTGTCATTCTGAGCAACTTCTCCTATTAATGGCAGAGGGCAGGCCTTTTTCTCCCCCATGGGATCCAACTGATCCTTCTAGAGCAGTAGGCAACCCCTGGCACAGGTGCCAGAGCATGGCACGCAAAGGCATTTTGGGGCAAGCGCCTCAGGGCAGATGGCAGGAAAAGGACCAGGGCTGCGCTGCCACAACAAGGACTGGGCCCCTCATGGCTCCCCCACCATCTGCCTCTGGCACACCAACATCTTACAAGTCAAAGTTGTAGGTGTTTGGCATTCTACCCAAAAATGTTGCCAACCCCCTTTCTAGAAAAATCAAGCACAATCAGTATATGGTGGTTTTGTCCCTGGTAACTTATCTAAAAGAGAGTGAGAATCAGTGTGATAATTTCAAAGAAATGACCGCAGGTGACATGTGATTTCCCCGCAGCCCTCTTCACCAAGCAAACATCTTGTGACGAATACCTTCATTATCGATGTAATGTCTTACTACATACGCATGGGCATCCAGCCAGTGTGTTTCCAGGTCTACTCTGTTAAGGTCAGTGCCTCATTTCTGTACATTTAGTTAATACACTAGCGGCTGCCAGCAGTCCAAAATTACCTTGCCGTTCATAGCCCCGTTGTGGTGAAAAGTATTAGCTTTGCTATCCAATCCCTATTCTGCTCTGTGTGTTAGTAGTCCCAGTGATTTCTCAAAACTGATACAGAGGGACAGCTGGAACTATCTGGTTCCAGAACCATGCAAAACAGCTGATTTCACATGATTTTGGCACTGGGCATAAATCAGTGCCAGGTTCCCTATTTAATTGGATTCAGGTTTGCAGACAAGATGTGTAAAAAAAACCAAACCTGTTTTGTGTTTTAGATTTTCTGAAACAGGGAATCAGGTGATTCTTGAGTGGTTTTACCATCCTCTGTTTACTCTTTGCAAGGTTGTGGGATTTCCTGAACTCTCGTTTATTTCCTGTTAGCTTTTTTGTGAAGCAGAATTTGAGTCAAACCTGCCATTTGACATGAGACCAAAGCAATTAGCAAAGAACAGTAATGAGACCACCAGCAGGCAATGATCCCAGGGTCTTTAGGACCGAAGCCCCTGAGTGACTTATTTTAGTGGCGCTAAAGGACTAGATTCTTCTCAGCTAGGGACAGATATTCAGAAAGCTGGAGCCTGAACTGATTCAACCTTTGCAAGTTAGTCTAACCTGTCTGGGTTGAACCAGTTTGTAACATTGTTAGTCCCTCACTCGGGCGCTTTGTATTTCCATCTCAGCTTTGTCATCTTTTTTCTGGATTCCCCATCCAAAACATCTACTAATAAAAGTCAATCTGCTCTCTGGACTGAGACAATGCGGGCAGGCCCCTGCATTTTTTTTCAATGCGGGCAGACCCCACGGCCAGGAGCTGAATAAGCCCCTTCCTGCTAGGAGGGGCTTGCCCCAAGTACAGAGAGAGGCCGCTTCACTGCAGCAGGGTCTGCCCTGTGGGGCTGCCCAGCCCAGCCACTGCTGCTGTGGCCCGGCTGGGCAGGCCTGGCTGCTGTGCAAGCAGCCTCTCTGTGCTTTGGGCAAGCCTCTCCTGGCAGAAAGGGGCTTATTTAGCTGCTGGCTGCAGGATCTGCCTGGCCAGGCCACAGCTGAAGCTTGGGGGCAATTAGTGGGGGCTGAATAAGCCCCCTCAGTGTCTTGCTCCGGCACAAAATGAGCAGCGGGGGCCAGCCCTGCCCCCGCCTGGCAGCTGGAGTAGTGAATGTCCGATGGCCAGGAGCCCATCACAGCTTCCTGGCAGGGCTGGCAGAGCAGCTGTGGAGCATGGCGGCACTGCAGGGGCTTGCAGGGCTCTGGCCCCAGAACCTGGCGCTGCCATGTGCAGCCTGAGCCCACAGCGCAGCCCCTTGCCGGGAAGGGGCTCGCTCTCCCCCACAGTGTGAGAGGGGCTGCTGCCTCCAGTAAGGGCTCTGCCCCTCCCCCCACAGCAGTGGGGAGGGGGCAAGGCCAGGCAAGGCCCCTGGGGAGGGCAGGGACAAGTTCATTCATCCGGCAAAGGGGAAAGCTGGGGGTCTATTCTGGCCAGAGAGCCACCCAGCAGCTAGTGGGGTAGAGGAGAAACTAACTCTGCTCCCTACCCCGCTCTGCCTCAGGGACCGTGGTGCCCCCCTCCTGCAGCAGCAAGGGTTGGGGGTGCGGGCAGACCTGGCTCAGGTCCCTGCTGGTGGCACAGGGAGGGGGAATTAAACCCCCCTCCGGCCGACCCCTGCCGGTCCCAGCTCAGGCTGGAGCAGAAAGCCCTGCCCCGAGAGCATGCTGGGATGCTGGGGGTCTCTGATTTAACTCAGACCAGCAAAGGGTCTGGGACAGACATTGCATAAACTGGTTTGAGCCAAATCAGTTAAGTCTGATACTACATTCAACCAGGTTTATCTCAAACTAGTTTCAGCCATTTTCAGATTGGTTTATGTGCACTGAATGTCTGTTCTGTTACAGCTTTAAACCAGTTTCTGATCACTTAAACCAGTTTATGTATAATATCTGTCCCTGGCCCTCGTGTCTCTGCACCACATCCAATTATTTTATTACACATGCTTGTGCTAATTTATTGCACTTTGTGAGATCTTTCATGTGCCTTCAAGCAGTGGACACTGCAGCAGCTGTTGCATAGTTTAAGGCTCTGTGCCATGGTCACAGGTGGTTGAACTAGTGGTATAGCCCCACTTCTTCATTAGTTCCTTGGAGTGCCTGACTCCGTTATGCTCACCGTTGAGACATTGCCACCTTTGCTGTGGTTCATCAGCCCCTGGTCGATAAGGACTCAGCTGCTGAAATGTTCATTCTTGTTCACTGTTGAGTATTTTCTTCAGCCTCTATGTCCACATCTGTAGTCGCGTCTCTGTGAGTGTGGCATTGAGAGTTTGGGTGCTGGTGAGGAAGTTCCTGTATGACTTGAGACCTTTGTGTGCTGTGGGATGGTTGTACAGCAGGTGTCTCGCATCTTCAGTTTGTCTCAGTCATTCCATCCTGCTGGCCACTGCTCTTCTGATGGCAGGCAGAGCGATACCAGCCTGGTGGGCTCCAGGCATCCTGTGATGCATCAGCAGCTACCATTCAGAATGGGGTCAAGGCACTTCATATGTACAGATCTCTCCTATGCAGGGCATGCATACTCAGCAGAGGAGAAGCTGAGAACCAGAGCAGTGGTTCAGATGGTTGAGGGGCTGGCTCCCCATTTTGAATCGTTGAGTTTATACAAAATGTTGTTATGAGTGCTCACCTTTGCTTTTGTCTTCATGATTTGTTCTTTGTATGAGAGGGTTCAATCAAAGGTGACTCCAAGGTAAACTGGATTGGCACAGTGGGATAGTGGGGTTCTGGACCATGTAATGTTGAGCTGGCAGTTGGCCTTATGGTTTTTCAGATGAAAGGCATATACTTGTGTTTTCACTAAGTTGGCACTTAAGTGATTTTCAATGTAACGTGAGGTTGGGCCAATTAGTGCCTTGCTTAGGGATTTTTCAACATGGTCAAAGCCAGTGTTTTGGGCTGCTATGTACAAGTCATCTACATAGATGAAACATTTTGTTTCCAAATCAGTTGGCTGGTCATTCATATAGATATTATATAACAGGAGTGCAGGTACGCTTTCTTGGGGGAGACCATTAATCTGTCGGCTCCATCTGCTTCTCTTCCCATCCAGTTTGCCAAAAAAACATGTTTTCAAGCAGGGTTCCTATCAGCTCAGTGAGGCATAGAACTTTTGTCATTTCCAGGCTCTTCTGGAGGAGTTGGTGGTGGTTAACTCAGGGGTTCTCAAACTTTGTGATACCGTGCCCCTGAGTGCTGGATGAGGGCAGCAGGGGACAGGGAGCCACCGCTGCCATCCACCACTCCACGCTGCTGCCATGCATCACTTCCCCACGCCACCGCGTGTGCCCCCTAAGAAGTTTGCGGTCCCTGTTTAAGTTGCTCGCGACCCCCCTGGGTGGTTGCAACCCACAGTTTGAGAATTCCTGGGTTAACTGAATAGTAGGTGGCTGTTAGGTTGACAAACACAGCTCTGGTGATTTGGCCCCTTTCAAAACCATCCTCAATATGTTGAGTTTAAATTGAGCGGCTGGCTCATTGATTTTCCAGGGTGAAAGCTGCCCTGTTCAGGGATGAAGTGTTTATCCACATATGGGGCAAACCAGTTCAGTATCAGTCGTTTGTACAATTTGTATGTGTGGCATAGCAGAGAGAGAGGTTTGAAGCTCTTTGGGTCAGGTGGATCTTTCCCTGGCTTTAGAAGCACCACTACCTGAGCATGTTGCCATATCTCTGGAAATTTTTGACTGGCTGTGCATGAGTTGTATAGGCAGAGGAGCCGTTCTCAAGTCTGGGGTCTGAATTGCTTGATTTGTTTGGTAAGTATGTCATCAAGGTGAGCTGCTTTCCTGGTCATCGGTGCTTTAATACCAGCATTCATCTCCGTCATTAAGAAGGCGCTTGTAAAATCCAGGTCTTTGAGGTACTTGTACCTTTTTAGTCTGTGGGGTGTTGTTTGTTTTTGGTCTTTTTCCACTGAAGAATGTCTGGTGGGCAATTTGACTAGCAGTGACATTTATGATGTTGATCTACCTTTCTGGGTTGTTGCTTAGTGTGTGTATTGTCGGCTATGCCTTTTTACTATTATGCATCATATCAATTGCCTCAATCAGAATCTGCCAGGATTTCTGGCATTCTTCTGTGATGGCTAACATAAGCTCCTCACCTGTAGTGGTGGTGGTTGCAGAAAAAGGGTCTAGTCCATACTATCATCTGTTGTCTTCATGTAGGCCAGTGGTTGGCAGAGTGAAGCCTGGGAAGTTCTTCATGCAGCAGCCCCGTGGGATGTTCATCCTTGCAGATTTCTGTACAGCTTTTATGAATTGGTCATAGTTCTTAGGCAGTGCTTTGATGGTTTTGACTGTGATATCAAGTTATTCTGAAAAGCCTTTCCAGTTTGCCTTTTAAAGGTTGAAACATCCAGAAAATGTCACTGTTACAGGTGTTACTGTGGCTTTGACCTGAATGCCAACTGGCTGATGTTAGGAATGTGGGGTAAGGTCTAATACAATTTTATTACTTAGCCCAGTGATGGTGTTGCTAGTAAATATAAGGTCTGGGTTGTATCCTTGTTTCCAGCAGCCACTGTTAAATGATTCAGGTAGCTTTGGGTCATGGACTAGATGTATCTAATGAAGAAGTTGATAAGGGGCTACCTTCTGTGTACCAGCCCAGAAAGGGACAAGTATCCCACCTTGTCAGTGCATGACAAGACTTCCTATTTCTCTTTTAACACTGATTTGCCCTAAACTCTACTCCTCGATGCTTTATGACTGATGGTTTTGTTATTTTTACATTTCTTTTTATTACATAATATTTCTGCTCCATGATACATTTAAAAAACTCCAGACAAATAAAAGAGGGAGAAATTCAGCTACCAGAAGAACAGGAACAGGTTCCAGTCCTGATTTTTTAAAGATGAGCAACTAACCTATCCATAAACCCTGAACTCACGCTGGACATGATCCTGCTTCCACAGGGCCTAATTTTCATTTAGATTGAGGCCCCTTTACAACTGTCTGCCCATAAAAAGAAGCTTGAAATTGGTGTCTCTTTCTGTGAAAGGATTTAAGCTAACAGACTGAAGTGTAAGTCAAAAGTGACACCCAGTGGTGAGGTGCATAGTGCACCAAGGGAAATGCCATTTGCATCTATGTGCAACTCTGTCTCCTCTATTTGGATGCTCCTGACCCTTCTAGGAGAGGATGGGAAATGTTGAGATAGAAGTACCAGAAGTAGGATATTCCATCTCCTCTGTGAATAAGGAGATGTGGATGAACTCAGTTCATTCTTCATGATGTAGCCTTTGTCTCTACCTAGTTGTTTCCCATGTAAGGCCACAGTCTCCTCCTTGTGACAGCGCAAGTGGTTGCTGCACAAATATTAGTCATGTCTCAAATTGGAGAACAATCAGGATCTGGTCTTAGAGAAGTTTTTTGTCTTTCAGATTGTCTTCAGTGACACAGCTCGGGAGCCAGCAGAGGATGTGTTTGTCACTGAGCTGAGTGTAAAAGTACAAGATTACAACCCCACCAGAGGTACATTTTGGGTTTTGGTGTTTCCTTGGCCACCACAAATCCCTTCTAATCTGGGCTTGTCACTCTCTCATAAGCTTTCCCTGTGCATGATCAAGCTCATCGTAGTTACCAAGGAGGTAAAAGATGTAGAATGGGGCAATAAATTGGTAGTTTCTGAGGATTTCAGGTAGTGTTCAGGTCTTCTTCTGATGACATAGGCCAGAACTCACATTAAACTCACTCTAACACTATCACTAAAACTGATAAAAGGGCTAGCTTTTCAAGGCCCAAATCAGGGCTGCCCAGAACAGGTAGCAAATGTAGTGTAGTGATGCCAGTGTGGCATGCAGTACCCTCTCCTGCACCACAGAATAAGATATGTGGATGCAACTCAAGACAGGATACAAGTAGAACCATGATTCCTCCAGTAGCTAGCCCCCAGTCTATGTAGGGGCTTGACAGATAATGACAAAAGCCTCCATTTGCTCTTGGAAGCACACAAATAACCAATGTAGAGCTTACTGACTGGTCATGATATATGACCTTACTGCCTCATCCCAGAAGGTGAAACTTCCAAGTACTTCCATGCACAACATGGAATTTGAAAAATGCAGCTTTTTAAAAGAGGAGGCAATTGAAAAAATGTTTGCAAAATATTTTCCTTGTAACTCAGTCTGCTTTCAGGAATTGCCAACAGATGAGGTCAGGGACTATATATATGAAAACTTCTTGGCTTCTAATTCTACCTTTAGATCTATGCTATAGTGGAAAGGGCATGAGCTAACTCCCATTAAAGTCAATGTGAAGCTTTTCATGGGAGTTGGATATGTACAGTTAGGACTAGATCCCATATTACTTCACCAAATAGCATTTATATTCAGTTTGCAGTTTTACAGTAGGTGTAGTATGGATGCACAAGCATCCCCATGCACGGAGGCCAGGCAGGTGCACAACACTGTAGCCTTTCCCAGGTACATGTTTAGGTCCTAAAACTGCAGCTGGCAAAAACCCATGGTGGAAGCTGAGCTATTGCACCTTGCATTTCATAATCATTGGATACAGTGGATGAAGAGTAGAGCAGTGCAGAAGTTTCTGCCTCAGTGGGAGCAAGGGTCCAAAGTAGAACCAGGGGTCTGTCCTACTTAGGGCAGCGACCACCTCACTGAACTACATGTCAGCTATTTTTTTTGTTTCCTCCTGGCCACATTTATATTCCTCTCCTGGCTGCCCAGCTTCAAGTGGAGGGCTGGAGAGAGTACTGATTAGAACACAAGAATATAAGAATGGCCATTTACTGGGTCAGATCATAGGTCTATCTTGCCTGGTATCCTGTTTCACACAGGGGCAGAGTGGATGCTAGAAGGGAGAATGAGCAAGGAATGACCTGGGTGTTTCCCCTGTTCCTCTCCCACTTGCAGCCTCCAGCCTATAAGGTCTAGGAAATTCTGATTTAGAGGCTGTACCCCTAACTCAATAGCTACTGATGCATCTTTACTCCAAGAATTTGTCCAATCCCTTTTCAAATCTAGCTAAACTCTCAGCATCCACAGCATCTTGTAGCAATGCATTCCACACTTGAATTATGTGCTGTGTGCAAAAGAACTTCCTTTGGTTAGTTTCAAACTTGCTACCTCCTAGTTTCATTTTATGACCCCTAGATTAATGGCTAGCTTGTGGTTTTGTGGTTAGGGACTTGTGCTGGAAAGCACAAGATGCTGTTTCAAACTCTTTCTGGGGGCCTAAAACCTGGGTCTCCCACTTTCTAGGAGAGTGCCTTAATCAGGCTGTTGGGCTAATACGTGGGAGGGTTGCCCTCATCCTCCACCATTTGTTTCTAACAGGCAGGTGTCCACAAGATTCAGTTTCTCTAGCAGATGAAATAGAACTGTAAATTGTGCGTAATTACCAAAAATTCTAATATAATAAAAGCCTCTGTCTGTCCGTAACACTTTTTTCACATTCTGGTTGTCTTGGCAGCCAATCACAATGCTGATGGAAACAACCAATAAGAGTTTTCCAAGACGGTTCTGGAGTGGGGCAGAGTGAGGAAGTGAGGCCAGCTCTGCTGGCCTAACCCCTACCCCCCGCAGCCCTGCTCCCTGGAGGTGGCAGCAGCATGTGCTGCTGAGCGGAACAGAAGGGATGGCAGGGCAAGCCCCCCCCTTCCTCTCTCCACTCCTGGGAGGTGGTGGCAGTGCTCTGTCCCCCCCAACCCATCATTCCTGATGGGCAATTGTCTAGTAGTACATAAGGTGCTAGGTAAGTGTCATCTGGTTGTGTAAAGTGAAATAAGATCTGTCTCTTGCTGAACAACTTGTGCTATTCATTCCTGTTGATTTCCCTATTCCAGACTTAGTGCTGGCAAGGAAGAAGACAATGCTGGAAGGTCCTGGGGCAGATATTACAGCAATGTATAGAAAGGTAAGACAGGGCTTTTGGAAGCATGCAGCACCTCACTGTTCATAGGACTCCTTTTGACCTACCTGGCAGGAAGGGAGCTCCCTTTAGGCAAGAACTACAGAGTGGATTCCCAAGTTAAGAAAAAGCTGCTATTGCTTTGGTTAACAAGAACATGCTCACATTGCTTCAGGAGTGGACTCTTGGGAAGGAGCTTGAGAAGTTATCTATTCCATCCCCCTGTCCCAAGGCAGGATCTCTAGAAACTAGACCTAAACCAGCACTGATATGTTTTTCTAACCTGTCTGTAAAGTGCCCTAATGATGGAGATTCCACAGCCTCCAAGGTAAAATACCCCACTTCTGAACTATCCTTGTGGTTAGAAAAAATGTCCAAATGTCTGATCTAAATCTGACAATTTGGTGTGGGGGAAGAGGCTTCTTAAAGGGCAAAATGATGACTGATTGTTGACCATGTCCAGGTAACATGCTAAAACTGTTTTTTATAAAAAAAGGTCCTAATTTTTCAGTCTAGAAAAGGCTTAAGAGCCCAATCAGGCATCCTTATGTAGACTTTGTAGTCCTTTTACTCAGTGAGTTGTCATATCATTGAAGTCGATGGTTAACTGAAGGTTGATTTAAGTATTCAGATACATGCCCAATTCGCTTTCTTGCTTGAGCAGCTTAGAATCTGTTTTTTGTTAATGGGGCTCTTTGGGTATTTTACATTTTCTACCCTTTTCCCCTCCATTTGGATGAGTTTTCCCTAGTCCTAGTCTATGCTGTTTTCTCTAACAGAGGTTTGCATAAGGGCATAGACAGATGAACACACATCCCAGTGTAATTTGCCATGGAATTGAATACCCATTACAATGAGGTCAGGAGTAGGGAGACATGTAGCTATCCCTGGGTATCTCACACAGTAGGGATACATGAGCTGAGAGGAGAGTGAGAGAGATTGAAAACAAACCTACCCTCACCCAATGTGCGATCCATGTGTCAGGCACTAATTTGTTTCTCTTAAGGCATAACATATTTCTCATAATGAAGTGTAATGGTGTTAATGGGCCTTTTCTGCAGGTTTTGCTGAGTAGTCGGGGGAAAGAATTGGGTGTCTCACTGAGATCTACTGGCTTGGTAATGAAAGCCATTCCACCTGATGAAGCTGAAGGTAAGACTCCTTTTTGTGGGTCTCTGAGGACATCTGTTTTTTCCTACCTGTTCAGTGTTATTGGGATTCTTGAGCAGGACTTTGAAGAAGCTAAAGTGACAAGTTTCAAAAGAATTTCCCTGAAATTGCTCAATACATGTTACTATTAGATTATGGAGCTTAATCATTGCTATATGAATATCCATATGCAGCACACGTGATCAGTATAGCTTGAAGTCATTCATCTCCTATGTTCCTATCTCCCAAGTCTCATGCTCATGTTTTAAGCCTTCCAATAACTGAGGATACAACATAACTGTAGTCTGGAGTCACCTGCATGGGTTTTTTTTATTTATATTCCATGTATTCTATGTGTGCACTGACCATGGTATCCTAGATTCCCATCTCTCATATAACCCAAGGTCAGGAAGAGAGAAAGAGAGACACTTTTGCAGATTGGGCTTCTTAGTTAAGTTTGGCTCAGTTTTCCCTCTTAGCTCTCCAGGGCTTATGATAACATTTATTTTAGTTCACATTCAAACAGCCCCTGAATGTTGCTTTCAGTGGAGACAAAAATTCAAGGCACTACATTCAAATTCTATCTACTTTTGGGTTGAAGCGCAGAATCCCTGGACAGCTGAAGCCAAACATGGTCCTGAGCTAGCATGGGACCTGTGAATTATGATATAGGAGTAGGGAGAGCCTAGGGTTCAAACTGCCTGGGGTAATGTTTGGGGTTGCTGCAGAGGCCTCACTCTCAGCCTTACCTCGTGTAGGGAACTGGCATTGCTCTCCATTTCCATTTGGGGTGATGGGAAAGATGGAAAGAAGGATTAGTAATGGAGAGTCCCAGGAGACGGACTGAAACTGGGATTTGCAGATAACACAATTCTTCACCAGAGTGCCATGATTAAGGGTGCAAATACCTGCTTACACAAACCCAGAGATTTCAAATAGGAATCCATAGTGTCCAAAACATTCTGATGTATTGCAGTCTTTCTGAGTTCTTTGCAACAGAAGAGTTGCTCTATTTTTCTGTATTCAAAGAAGTGAGTGAAAGCTAACAGTTGGCATTTTCCTAGGGGTGCCTTGAGCCTAATAAAGGGTGCCTTGAGTCTAGAAAAGTTGAGGACTGCTGATCTAACACCTCAGTTCTGTTGCAGATTTGATGTGCTTGAATGTGTATATTACTGAAGTCATCAAAACCAGCAACCTTTCAGGAAGATCATTTTCTGTAAGTATCTGTGACAGCTTGGGGAGTAAGAGTCTGTAACAATGTCAAGCCTGCGCTTGGATGAGAGCCCTTAAGGGAAACTGCAAGTTGCTGCAGGGAGTGGGGGAAGGAGGACCAGCCAACATAGTCACTAAAACATGTCACGAGGGTCCATCCACACAGCAGAATAAGAGTGGTAAAAGAGGAAGAGATTATCCTGAGCTCCCCTTCTTTTCCATAATAGATCCATGAGGAATATAGGGTAGGACTTGGACAGCCTGACCCCTTGAACTCCATCAAACCTAACATGTGCTCCTTATTATCACCCCTGAGGTTACCCACAGTAACAGGCACTCCATTAATTATGCTCATTTGAAAGAAGTGCTATATGGAAAATGTTAAATAGCAGCATGTTATTAGAGATTTCTCTTATTCTTTACTCTCATACTCTTTACTAAAAAACAAAACAAAATAAAATAAACCCTCCTATTGCTCTATAGAAAGAGAACAGGACTGTTGTGTAGGGTTGGTTAGAAAATGTTTTGAGATTTTTTTCCCCCAAAAGGAAATTATAGTTGTTTTTGTTGTTGAAAAATCCACGCAATTCAACCTTTTCTCTTGAAATATCCAAGCAATTCTCTTTTTCTTGCCCCTCAGCACCGCCTGGGTGGACCCTTCCTTGCATTAGCATCTTTGTTTAGCAAGACCTGACACTGAGATCACGAGCTCTGCTACATTTTAGGACACAGAGGACAAACTTTTGAGTGGAGATACAAGATGTGACTCTTGTTTATATTAACCCCCCCTCTACATCATTCTGGTTGTGAACATAAATTTGCCTTTATTTTAAGACCTTTTTGTCCCTGCCAGAGCACTGCAAACAGGTCTTGGTGTAACTGTGATTTGGATCCTTTCCAGCCAAAAAAACAACAGTAGAAGCAGTACAGACCTGCAGAGCTGATGAGGTCACCTCAGAGGTGAGCCTGGCACTGGACACTGGCAGTAAAGTTTATATGAAAGTTTTGTCCATTGTGAACTGCTTTGCAGAGCTGTAGCACCCCCTCCCCTCCTCTCCTCAGTTAATCCCATTTTGTTGCCTGTTTCTGTCTGCCACTACTGACGCACAAGCATCTTTGACGCACTCTAGCTCCAGCCGAAACCCCAGGGAGATCTCTTTGGAAGCCTCTCCAGCTCCAGTGAGCTAATCCTCAAAGACGCATGTGTTGAGATTAAGGCTGTATGCAAAACATTTTCATTTGGTAGGAACAAAAATAAGAAGCAGTGACTCAAACAACTTTAACAACCAGCATTTAAAGCTAAATATGCATGACCTGGGATTGCTAACTCAGTCAGAAGCAGGTCATGTTTCTCTGTCACTTCCTCCCATGCATAGCATCCCTAATGAGATGATGTGCTGTGTCTCTAAGAGGGTTAGCACACATTGTATGGCCACTTTGGTGTGTGTAGAAGGGGGAAGGACTATGGTGACTATAAGCCAGAGGTGTCAAACGTGTTTGAGTTGGTGGGCTGGATTCTGGTCAGGAGCTTTTTGTAGGTCAGATAATCCACCTCCAGATCCAGTTTGTGGGGCTTCTTGTCAGAGCTGCCCAAGCTGCTGTTAGCATGGCCAATACACGGAGGTTAATGCTGCTGCCACTCATCAGGTTTGCATGATGAACAGCAATCATATACTATAAATTTGGTGGCAGGGGTATAGTACTGACCCCCTGGGGATTGGCTGTGTTGGCACAGTGGCTCTGAGATCTGCAGCAAGATGTTTTTCAGCCTAGATCTGGATGTGAATTGTCTGGACAGGGAAGCACCGTAGGCAGGATGGCACACATGCATGGGCTGGATCTAGCCTGCGGGCTGTATGTATGACACCCCTGCATTAAGCCAACTGTGTGTTCTTTCAATTATGGGTTACTTCAGTGTTATCTTGGACAACACTGGGGCCTGCATAAATAACAGCAGTCTCTCAGGATGCCTTTGTCTGCAGTGTTGCTTGAATCTCAGCAGTATTATGAGCTACATTCTCAGTGTGCCCTGTCTGCTTCCAGTCTCATCTCCAGCACAACCTCAAAGTCAGAGTTTGCAAGGGAGTTCCCCTGACATCCCCTGTGCAGCCTTTCCCTGTGTGAGAGGAATCCTCCACTATTGCATGTAGTGGAATTAGGCTCTTTCATACCACTGGGGCACAGAGGAGCAGGAGTGGGGTGAGGGTCTTAACCCCAGACTCCAACACTAGCAGTCTCCTGTAAGGCTGCTGAATTAATTCAACGTGTGAGGAGACTTTAGACAGTGGGCTTTTTATCACTAATTTCATGTTCCTTGTTTCATGGGCACATTTAAAGGGGCCTGGGTTTTTTCTTTTTTTTCTAGAGTGATTGAGCAGCTGCAGCTCCCACTAATTTCACCAGGAACTGTGAGTGCCCAGCACACTGGAAAATCATGTCCCTTTAAGTTGTGTCAAATTAGGTACCCAAAATCACTGGTTGCTTTTGCAAATATTGGCACATTTATATGGGAAGGAAAAGGAAGAAGCTAGCTTTCCATTTCACCTGTCAGGTCTTGTCTTCCAAGGCCAAAAAAATACACAGTCACCATACATACACATGCTCTCTCACACAGTCCCTCTCCCGCCAGCCTGAGGAAGGGAAGTTAAAAATTCATTGGGTTTTTTTCCCCTCTGTTCTAGTTTATGACAAACAAGATCAGAATGCACAGTATCAAAGTCAGCAGCATGGATCAAAAGACCTTCACACTGTGCCTGGACAAAGACTTCAGAAGAACCTACAGGAATGTAGTCAGGTGAGGTCACTTTGCTGTAAGCTTTTAGCAAGCAATGCTCTATTGATTTAAAATGATAGACTTTCCTTTCACAGGACTCCTCAAGGCAGAACCAGACACTTTGCCCGGTTACAAAAGGTGCAACTGGAGGTCTGGAGAGATGGGTTCTGCTCCTGGTTCTTTTAATGATTTGATGAGAGACTTTTGACTAGTTTATATTGCCTACCGGTGTGAGTTTATTTGGGTGAAAGATGGAGGTAGAGGGGGTGAAAAATGTGGACGATACTGTCCCACTTCTGTAAAGTGTTTTAAGATCTGTGCGAGGAAATAACTATTTCCTTATGATGATGATGATAACTATTATTAATAATAATTTAGTGGCCGCTGATGCTTTCCAATGTGGATTATAAAATGCTGTTTAAAATCGTGTTAAAGAGATTAGCTAAAGGGGCACCCAAGTTAATTCCCTCAGCACAGTCAAGCATGGTTAAAGGACATGCACTGGTAATAACAGATGCATTACCAGTTCTGTGGAAGATCTTTGAGGCCTCTGCAGAGGCAGTAGAAAAGATGACATTATTCCCTTCTCAAAGCAAGGATGTTGACAGGGTGAGCCATCAGCTCTATGGAAGATATTTCCTATTAATGCAATTCCTCAAGAATTTATAGGCTGGCTGAGAGTTTTATATATGGACTCAACTAGCTTACCTTAATTACGCTGGATATTAGGGAAAGCTTTCTAATGGGAAGAGTGGTTAAGCACTGGGGCAGATTACTTAGGGAGACTGTGGAATCTCCAGCAAGAAAAGGTTAAGAAAAGGTTGAACAAACACTTGGTTGAGATGGTTTAGGCAGAGAAGAACATGCCTTGAGCAATGGATTAGACTAAATGACCTACTGGGGTCCCCTCCATCCCTATGTTTCTGTGATTCAATGTCATAAGAGTAACACACTCAAGCAGTAGAACTTGGCTTATTTCCTGCGTACCTTTGTGGAAAACACTCAATCCCTCCATAGTTCTGTCTCCCCAGAGGAAGGTCCTGAAGTTTAACTTGAGTTTTAAAGCATTTTGAGATGCATGAATGGAAAGTATTATCTAAGTGTGTCAGTGTAATACTTGCATAACACCTTTTGGATTTGGATAGGTGAGTCTTCCTCGTTTTTCTATCTGGAAATATTATATAATATTGCCTGCTTTTAAAAAGTTTCTTTTGTTCCACCCCAGAAATTGCTGCACTTCTGCGGCATGATCAATGATCCTTAATAACTGTTTTAGAGACGTTGCCCTAAAAGCCTAAAAATGTAAAGATGGAAGGCTTTTCTTTTTACACACACAAAGCAAAATGCCTTTTCTTTTTTTTTTTTAACCAGCTTAAACCATTGAATTCCATCCTCCCGTATTCCCTTCTCCCTTATCTTGCACAGCTGGTGCCATGTTTCCTTAGCACTTCCTCCAAGAAAGCAGCTAATTCATTCTGAGCTGCCCAGAAATCCCTATCAAGAGAAGGGTCATGTTTAGGGGTATGCTACTGTTCAGTAAATGGCTCACATGTGGATGGGTGATACTTCCCTCTAAGCCTGCAGAAAGGAATTTCATATGGCAGCAGTATAAGCTGAAAGGTTGACATGGAAAAGAAAAGTGCAAAACCTGATAGTAAGCAGCCATCAGACTGCTTACAAACTTGATGGGGTGGACAGTGTGGAAAGCTCATGGATAATGTTGCAATATATGAAACATTTACAAAGCCAAGAAACGAGACCATCAAAAAGTTGGAAAGGCAATAAATGGGCTGTTTATATTAATAGTAAAGTGTTAGCTGTGGTGTTCTGGCAGAAATCCAGTAAGGGTGATTACATTAAGTATTTGTACATTCCTCCATCAGCTATATTATTGTTCTTCACTTCCTGTCCTAAACCCCTTAAAAGCTGTCGTGGCTCATTTTAGCAGTGGGTAACTTTCAGTTATGAATGAAGTGTTAATATATTAGACATATCCAAGTCCCCCCAACATTTGGATCTGAAACTCAGATGTTTCAAAATTCAAGGGTGTCCCTACTAAAAGACTGTGTTTAGATCACTTGTGAAATTTTGATGTGTGAATGAATTTCAGGCACCTCCAAAGTATCTCAGTATGGAAGTAGAGTTTTGATTCAGGCCCATATGTAGTACACTGTATGTGCAGTGTACATTTCTCTGAATCAAACTAAGCCTTTTCTATGACATTGTGTAAGACGCAAAGGATCATGCATGACATGAGAATCTCTAGCAAAACCCAGTGCAAGATCACAAAAAGAGTTATAATTCTTAGTGCCTTTGGTATAAATCCAAAGTAACTACTGAAGTCAGTGGTGTCATTCTGGATACATACTGAGATCAGAAGCTGGGTGCTGGTTTGCAGATTGGCACATGCAGAAAATGTATTTTCTTCTGTTGCAGTGTGGAAGTTTCACCCTGCCTGGAACCTGGCTACTGTTTGCAGAAAACGAGGACAATGCAATTCAGCATGCATGGATCAGAGGATGTAGGACTGGCCAAGTACATGCCCAAATCTTTGTTATTACCTATCAATACATTTGCAGGTATAATCCAGTGAAGAAAATTCCAGCGTGGAGAGTGGCATGAAAATGAAAAGGTCTTATAAGAATCTCTCATTCGGTCATAAGAGCACAAGGATGGAGGAACACACTAAAAGCCACCTGAAACTGGCAATGATGATTCTACTTACAATGCTGCAGCAGTACAGAAGTTCACTGTTCAGTAAAACACATGTGAAAGCACAGTTTAAAACCTCTCTGTCAGGGGAACACAGCAAAAGTAGTTTTACTCTTGCAGCTTACTTCTATACAGTAGCCTTTGTTTAACAAGTCTTCAGTGCAGCCAGGTGTTGGATAGTCTTGCTGCCGTCTTTGAGCAAGAAGAGGCTGCACACCACTTCCTCAGTTTAATTTATGAGCTGCCTCTCTGACTTCCAGCTAAGGTTTTATATGCAGCTTAATTATAAGAACTTTTTATCATTGATATGAAAAGCATGTCATGTTATTCAAAATGGCCACATTACCAACACCCCTTCTACCCCATCTTGCTACTGCAGTCCTGTCTCCCAAGGAAAAGAGGTAGCCTGCAGGTGATGGACTTTACATCAGCTACTCTGGCTCCCAAAAACAGTTGCCTGCACAGTCTGGATTTGGATTCTCCTTCCACAAGAGGAACAGAAACTAAAGAACTATGTTGGTGGCCTCAGAATTGGACCTGGGAGCTAGGCGTCTGCAATACTGCTCCATTTATTTGTTCTGCTGCTACTAGAGTACAAAATTAGCTCTCAAAATATAGCTTGAATAGTGCCAGTATGGTTAGTGGCCCTGGTTAGGATCAAACTAACCTGTTTTAAAATTTAAACATCACATAATAGCAGGTGCATAAGCTGTTTTCTTTATTCCATTTTTTGCAAGCTGAAGTCATTTCAGAAAGAGTGTATATTTCTTAACTTGTCAACATCTAATTTGGGATATCCAGGACAGGTCCAGTAAAGCTTCACTTAATTCTTGATTGATATAATTGTTAGGCCTGCCTTGTATGACACTATATTGTTTATTCCTTAAAACTAGACATATTCAAACCCCAAAGTACTCTCTGCTTTCAATATGTCATTGCCATGGTGTAAGCACAGAACATCTACCCAAAGAAAATGTGGTGGCTTCTCCAGTCATCTTTGGTCTTTGTGTACTTCCTGTAGTGTGTGCTCTCTATTCCACTGATTTAATAAGGGCTGCCAGGGACCACATCTTCACTTAACCCTTCTGTCAGCACATCTGTGCCAGATGGACATGTGATACCTGACAGAGTTGTGCCAGGAGACATTCCTACTTTAGATGCAGTTATACTAGTAAATATACGCTCTTGCTAAAATTGCTTTTCACATGTGGGGGTGTTTTTATTACATGGGTAGAAAGCACAGCTACTTATGTTGTTAGACCCACATGAAAGGTACTCTGCTGGTTCAGGATAGCAGCATTGCTATACTGGTAAGATGATTGTGCAGACATAACCAAAATGCCCAGAGCAATTTATACATTTAATAGTATATTATGGCATTTGGCATATTGGACCTGGTTAGCTAGCAGTAGTACATGGTATTGAGTGCAGCAGGGGTACTGCAGGTAGCCAGTGCAGCCCATTCCTCATTACCCAAGAGGTGAATCCTCCAAGTCATTTGTGCCTGGCCCAATGGGAGCTGTGCCTCTGAGATTTAAGTTATTGTATGTAGATGCCTACATTTAGAATTAGGAACCTACCTTTGAATACCCAAGCCTGAAATTGTAGGTTGTATTGCTCAGATCAGGGGTGGCCAACTTGTGGCATGCATGCCGCAAGTGGCATGGGCAGCCTCTGTATGTGGCACATGGCAAATTGGGGGAGGGGACAGGCAGCGCAGCAACAGACAAGGCAGACAGCAGAGCAGCAGATTGGGCAGGAGAAGGGGATTGGAATGGCATTCAGGCAATTTGTGACACTCCTGCTAAAAAGGTTGGCCCCACTGGCTTAAATGAGGCTCACCAAAAAACCTGTCACAGAACTGCTTTTATCCTGTCCTTGGAATTCCAACTACTGTAGGTTTTCTTGAATATTTAGGCCATGTTAATGTCAGAAAATCTATGATTAAACTTTCCATCACAAGATGTTGGAGATTATCTAGTGCCTCCCCCAGCCTCTATCACCACAAGCATGCACACAGGTATTCACCTACTGTTCAAACAACCACTTATTTTTATATTTGCTGCTACAAGCATTGCTGTCTTTTACTTTCTAGTAGAAGCTATATAAATCCTCAGGTTGTCATGCTGAATGCAGTATTAAAATAAAAGCTATGTCCCCAGTAAGCCTTACACTACTTGATGACAAAACATCTTTCAACTTCTAGGCAACTGATAAGTTACATGGCAGTAAAAAAACCTGGCAGTTCCCAAAAGCATTTTATTAAAATCCCAAACAAAAGGCAAAGAAACCCAAGTGAATGTGTTGTGTGAGAATATCATTTCCCCCTTACCCCCCAAACATCTGCTCATGTGATCTAAAACCATTAATTCCAGGAAGTTTCTCTAAACCTGATTGCACTGCATCCTTTTGTATTAGGAGCTCATAAAGCCCCTAAAGAAAACTGTATTTTTGTTATGCCAGGAGTCTATGTCACCATATTCTAAATTCAGCTAACCTCAACTTCCCGAGCCCTAAAGGTGAGATGCAAGATACAAATTTGAGTCTGAAGCTCTCAGCAGCACTGCACTTTTTGAATATAGATTGCTTTGGCCTTAATTTCAGTTTACTTATAAATTACTGGCATTCAAGATCCTAAGACTTGCGATGGACAGAGGGAAATTTGGTCTTAGAAAGACAGGTAAATATGCATGAGAAGCCCCATTACTAATCATTGGAAAAGAGGTCAAGAAACACCTGGATGAAATCAGTGGCTGCAAAGCATTTCTGCTTCCATTAACTACTATGTAGGGCAATAATTAATTTAAGAGTCTAACAGACAGCTTGTGTACCTCTGCCTCCAGGAGGGCTTTAACTAATGGGTCACATAGCATGGTAATCTAGGTAAATATTTACAAATTAGCTGATTGTGTTATAGCTTTGGACTAGTACTGATGTGTATATTATTAATGATGTACAGGTGTATATGATGTAATTATAAATTATTTGTACAAACATTATGGATGATATATATCAGAAGGTGCAATCCTTTTCATTTTGATTAAATTACATTGTAAAAAACCAACCAAGTGGCAATGTTTTGTGTGGCTATGTGACAGAAGTATGTGGGGTAGAGAGACCCTGCACAGAAGCTGATTATGTTCTCCATTGTTTGTTTTACACATCCCATTTTGAAGCCATTTACCCTGCTTTGTGAGACAAAAATACATTTCCAAGCAGCCAGCTCTTGGGTAAATATACTTGAGTCTCTATTTGCCAGCATTTTGGAAGGAGGATGCAGAAGCCCTCAAACTTTTGTTGGCTCCTCTCATTCTGAACATACCTGTCGGATCTCCACAATAAAGTTTTGGAAGGAAGATCAGCATGGGTCTAGGGAGGTGAGAAAAGGGCTTGCTTTGTTGGACAAAGATAGTATGCCCATCTTCTCAAGAAAATCACTTTAACTAGGATTCAGATCAGGAGATGGGAGAGCAAAAACATATTCATGCCCAGGAGGAGGGCTGTAGACCAGACCCCAGGATTTGTGGGTTGTTCGGTTCTGCATTTCCTTAATTCCCCATAGGTTTAGGTTGCTGAATTTTGCTCTAATGTGTTCCTTACAGTAAGTCTCCCACCCTTACAGCAGCATTTCTTCTGTCTGCACACATAGACACTTAGGTTTCCAACAGATGTGGTGTTTGTTGCAGGCCAAATTGTTCCAGTATTATACAAGGCATTCTTCCAAGCATCATCCTGTTGCGCTGCTGCTTGTCTGCTAGTAGATGACTGGCGAGAGCACACATCCCATCATGCCTTGAGGTGATCTAGCATCTGGAGGTTCTCAGGGATTCCCTAGTGTGGTGGAAAGCACCCACTGGGTGGTCAGCTAGAGGGGACTGCCCAGGAGTGACTGAGCCAGTGACCACAGCTGAGAAACAAGCCCTGCCCATGCTATGCATGCACAAACATAGCAGTCAGGCCAAGCAGATAGTTTAGATGTGTCCTCAGTGCATGCATGCCCCAGAGCTGTGCTCAGGCCCCCTTTAAGCCTTCTTCCCTCTTTAATTGTTACAGTCAGGAGCAACCATAGTGGGAGCCAGTGGATGGAGTTTGTTCCTCACAGCGGTCCCAGTCTCAGCAGGGAAGTGACGTAGACATGCTAAGAGTGCTAGACATGATAAAGAGTGCTAAAAGGATTTGTGTGGTGCTTTGAGGGTGAAACATATTCCCTCTAATATCAAGTTGTACACTATCATGGTATTATTGTGATGCTATCATCTTGCTGACATTTAAACCTGAGATCCTGACTTTTTGTGGCCACTGAAAATCTCATTGCACCAGACCAGGTGCCCTAACCCACTTGCAGGTTTGTCTGTCTAAATCTCCTAATTTCCTCTGCAATCTCCATTGAACAAACTATTTTTTGTCTTAAAATAGCTGGACCGTGTTGTTTTATGCATTTTAAAATGTTGCCAAAATTTGACCCTAGAGGTGGCTGCATTTGAGTAGTGGATGAAGTTACTCTTGTAATTAGAGTTTTATATAACAGTTGGTACAACATACAAAGCACTTAGGGATACATTTGGGCAGAAACAGCTATAGGAATGCAAGATCATTATTATAACAACAGGCAATGTGCAGTCTCAAAAATAAAAGGAATCATGTCATATGAAAAGCATTCTCCAGTGCTGCAAGAACATGTGATGACTTGGAGATCCTGTTTATATAGTGCTTCTGAATACCAGTTTGAGTTTATGATCTACCTATTTCCTTGTGTCTTATGACAGTCTTTAACTGTGTTACACCTCATGTTTATTGTGTTAGGGCCCAGAACCTGGGGCGTTGTATAAGGGCAGGAGCCCAAATTTATCTGAGAAGGAGGACTGTGGTATGTCAGAGGACTGGGTATTTGGGAATAAGGACTGGGGGAATGTAATCCCTGTGCCCACAGGGGACATGCCTGGGGGCTGAGTGGCCCAGAACCTGCAGGAGGGCTGGAGCTGGGCCTGAGAACCTAGGGTCCTGGTGCAGTGGATCCTGGCCCATAGGACCCAGCCAGATTAAAAGTGAGCTGAAGCCAGGAAGGGTCTTAGGTCAGACAAGGACTTCCCCAAAGCCCACATCTGCCTCATGGAGGCATCCTCCCTCTGAAATTATAACTTCAAGTCATGCAGGTGAGATAACTGTGGAGGGGAAGGACCCAGACAGTCCGGAATTGGGGGTGAGGAGGTCAAAGCTATGTGATAAGCCAGACAGGGGACCTGGTTGCACCAGCAGCGTACATATGGTCACGCCAATCTAAACCTACTTTGCTGCAATTTCAAACCAGTGTTACATGTCCTTCTCTCTACAGTGAGGAAGAAAAGTTGTTCTCCCTCATCTTTATAGCAGCTCTTCAAATATTTGAAAACTCTTATTATGACCCCTCTTAATCACCTTTTCTGCAAACTAAACACACCTATTTTTCAACCTCTCCTCATATGGCTTCCCTTCCAAACTGTTTATCATTTTTGTTGTCCACCTTTGGACCCTCTCTAGCTTCTCCATGTCCTTTTTAAAATGCAGAGGCCAGAACTGCACACAGTACTCTAAATGAAGCCTAACCAGTACCAAGTAGAGTGGCACTATCCTCTCCTACATCTTACATCTAAGACTCCTGGCAGACATTCACATTTATCATGTGATTAACATGTTAACTGCAATAAATTGTAATTATAAATACAGCAATGTCTGAATGACAGGAGGTTTCAAGTGGAATATGATAGGGGTCTGTCCTGGGTCTAATGCTGTTCAATGTGTTTATTAATGATCTGTATCCTAGCATAGAGAGCTTCCTGAGCAAATTCCCAGATGACATGAAACTGGGAAGGACTGCAAACACAATGGAAGACAGGAGGAGAATTCAGAAAGACTTGATGAATTGGAAACCCGGACTACAGCCAACAGGATGAAATTCAGTGCAGACAAAAGCAAGGTATTACACTAAAGGAAGAATAATGAAAAGCCCAAATACAAAATGGGTGATGTGGCAGTACTTTTGAGAAGGATCTGGAGGTTTTGGTGAACTGTAGACTCAACATGAATCAGCAATGTGATGCAGCTGGGGGAAAAAAAGTGAATGTAGTGTTGGACTCCAATTACCCTTTCTTTGCTTGTGGCTATTAACCCAGTTGCCTAAGCACCTTCTAGTGATTTTGTCTAACCCACAATTCCCCAATTTATTTATGAGAGGGTTGTGTGGGACTTTGTTAAAAAAATCTTCTTGTGTTTAAATACATTAAGGAGTGATTGGGTTTTGGGACCCTTGCAAGTCTGTGTATCTCTATGCTTCCACTATCCTGTCTCTGAAGAGTATGCTGCAAACACAGAGTATCCACAAGGGCAAAGCCTGGTGGAAGAGTATGTATGCATAAGCAATGGAGGTGTCCATGGTTCTGAGGCTGAGGGCAGCTGAGCTGCAAGGGGATATGTTTGCTGGCTATAGATACATTTTGGGAATAAAATCCAGGAAGTGGTTGGTGAGGGGAGGTTTAAACTATAGAACAATGTTGGCAAAGGAACACATGGGTATAAACTGAAAACTGGAGTTTATAACTTAGGCTGGAGAATGATGTTGCCCCGAGGGGGATGTTACAATCTCTCCCCAAGAGGAGATTCTTGATTTGTCAAAAGTAGTCAGTCAGGCAAAAAGCCTAAAGAGTTTAGTATGGCGTTTGAATTATAATACACGGCTGGCTACAATAACAAAGGACTGGACATGACCAGAAGGCTCCTCTCTAAGTCCCTTTTCTGTGGAGGAATAACTGGAGATGTGCCAGAAGAGGCCAAGGAAAGAGTCACTGCTGGAGTGTACTAAGAACCCTAGCATTTGTTCAATTTGTGCTATTTCAAATGCATTTATGAGGTCTCAAAGTGCAAGAAAACATACATTCAAGCCATTTGTGACATTGCAAGTGCAAGTGAAAAATTGCAAAGTTGCCCCATTTCAGTTGAAGTTTACCTTGGGAGAGTGATATCTTTGGCAAAATCAAACATGTGCTTACTCCACTGAGATATCACTGTCCTCTAGCAATGCAGAATACACTATTTCTCACCTCCACCCCACTCCAAGGCCTGCCTCTCCCTTGACCTGAACTCTATTGCCTAAGGGACAGTAAGCAAAACCCTAGGAAAAATGCATCCCCAGAAACCCCAAAAGAAATCAGTGTGGTGTGGGCACTGTTCAGCAGGTTAGGGGTGCAGCTTCCTGGCAGAGTGGGGGTGGAAGGGACTTACTGACTTCATCATTGCTTTGGAGGCAAAAATTAACCCTTATTTGCCCCAAAGGGCTGTGAACTGGCTCCTTGCACCCAGGTGTTAGGATTCTACTACGGGACTCAGAGAAAGAGTGGGGTGGGGCCCTGCCACCAACATCTGACCTCAGACCCTCGGTTTCATCCACCACAAGCCCCCCAGTCCCAGCTCCCCTATGCTTCATTTTCCCCACTACATCTCAGTTTACCCCACGGGCCTGCTAACCCATCCTGCTTTAGTTTCTCCAGAGGCCCTCCAGCCCCAGTGTCTCAGTTCCCCCATGCTTCATCCCCATCCCCTAATAAACCATCCAGCCTCCCTGTGCCTCAGTTTCTGCCACAGGTCCCAGATCCCCCATGCTTCAGTTTTCCCAAAAGTTGGAGGTGGGTTGGGGGTGGTGTCAGCCAGGCAGGCAATCAGCACTTCCCTCTGCCCTGTTCTCAGGTATCGAGTGCAATAAGTTTGCAGAAGGCAAGACTCTGAGTGACAGCCAGCATGGCTTCATTACCGGCATGTCTTGCCTTACCAACCTCATCTCCTTCAATGACCAGGTAACTCACCACCTGGACATGACAGAGCACGTTGACATTGTATACCTAGACTTCCAAAAGGCCTTTGATCTAGTATCCCACAATGTCCTCATGAGAAAATTGGAGAATTGTGGGCTTAACTCTGAGACAGTCAGGTGGGTGAGAAACTGGCTGCATGGTAGGACCCAGACAGTTGTAGTGAATGGATCTGTGTCACCCTGGCAAGAAGTGGGCAGCAGTGTCCCGCAGGGGTCAATGCTTGGTCCAGTACTTTTCAGCATCTTTATTAATGATTTGGATGTGGGAGTGAAGAGCTCACTGGCCAAGTTCACGGATGACACCCCGTTATGGGGAAGCATGGTCATACTTGAAGATAGGCTACAGTTACAAGTGGACCTAGACTGCTGAAAATAGGATCTCTTTGTGTTTCATGGTGTGTTTCATTCTTGCTCAGAAAATGGGCTTATTGCACTTGATACCTGAGAAAAGAATGTGTAATAGTCAAGAAGTATCAGCAGTGCAAGTAGCGATGCTTACAGTTAAATATAGTTTGATACTTCTTGACTATTAGACATTCTTTTCAGTTGCTTATAAATTTACCCAACTTTAAGCATTTTGGCTGAAATTCTCCCTCCTTGGGATTTGCCTAAGATTTACTTTTACCAGGAAAGTTTCAGCAAATATAGCTCAGACATGTCTCACAGATGAGGTTAGGGGAAAATATACTGTTCTCCCCATATAATATTCTGATACTTTGTTGAGAAGCTCCTATGCTTTCAAGCAGAGTTTTGAAATATAGCCTGGCATGGGAATCTACATTTTATCATTCTAAAAACCCTCAGATCTGATACACAGGTGTAAAAACATGCTACAATAAACATTTCTTTTCCTTTAGAACCTGGACTGAGTTGCTTGTTGTGTGTGTATGTGTATTCCCTACAGAACAAAAAATCCCCTAAAGACACATAGGCACTTACATTTTTTGTCCAAGGCCAGCTCAGTTCCAAATTCAGCTGAGCAAAGCCCAATAGTCTCATTCCAAAATTAAACTGAGAAGAGCTTAATTGTGAAGTCTGTGTGCCTCTACCACTGGTCAAATATGCTCCCTCCCAGACCCATAGGTCTGGGGCTTCGGATACTCCCCAAATCCAGGCAGGAATCCTCTGTGTAAGCCCAGGCCTGGAGGCCCTGGGGTTCAGCTGTCCCCTTTCTCCCTTGATCTTCGACAAATGGCTGCATTTGCTGCATGTAAGTGAGCAGAACTATTCAGCTTGATGCTACTTTCCTGACATTGTTTTTACACCATCACAGAGGAAGGTAATCCCCAGGAGGGTCAAAGGGGGCAGGAGAGCATATAAGCCTCCATGGCTCACTAAAAACATCCGGGAATGTCTCCTTGCCAAAAAGGAGGCTTACTCCCAATGGAAAGGAGGGGTCATCACTAAGGAGGACTATTCTGCAGTTGCTCGGGGATGTAGGGGGATGGTTAGGAAGGCCAAGGCAGAGATGGAACAGGGGCTGGCTTCCGGGATTAAGGACAACAAGAAGTCCTTTTTTAAGTACATAGGGAG